TAGTGATGATGACAATTTATTACTCGAAAGCACGAGAGAATAAAAATAAAAAGCATTTTCCCCGCAACAACAAAAGTTATTTTGAAAATACGGTTGGAGGTCAGTTTTTAAATTTTTTAATTATTTTAAGTCATATTAGTTTTTTATATTTTTTATATATCTTTAAAAAAATTGTATAAAAAGTCAAAAAACTTGTTTTTAACTTATTTCTCAAAATAAGTCAAAATTATTTATTCTCAATTTGTTTTTCAAAAATTTGGATGAAAAACTTATAAAATTTAAAATAAAATTTTCAATTTTTCTTAAAAAAAAGTACAAGAACTCTAACTATTTTGGAAAGTAAATTAAAAGTTAATTTTTAACTTTTTTTATAAAAAAAAATATGTAAAAAAAATAGAGAGACGACATGACTCAAACAAATATTATTCCCAAAATAGGCCATATGATTAAGGGTAAATTATGGTTTGTACCAAATCTCAATTTAACCCCTATACATGAAATAATGACAGTCAACTCTCTACACTTGTGGTCAAATCCCACTATGGTCCCTACACATGACATTGTGACAGTCAACTCCTTACATTTTTACTTAAATCTTACTTTGGTCCTTATATAAGTGTCAATATCCCTCTTCTGTCATTTCTTTTTTTAAATTTTTAACAAAATCCAATCATGACAAAAATGTGACTACAAAATGAGGGTAAAAAAAAAAATATCCATGTTTCCCACCAATACACTTTGTTCTACATGATAAGCACACGAGGCCCCGTTTGTTTTCAGATGTGGAACAGGGGAATTGATAATGAGAGTATTGATAGTGAGGGGATTAGTAAAATTTTATTTGTTTTGATGATAGTTGTTAGTGTGGGGATTGTTAAATTATTTTTATATAAAATAATAAAACAAATAAAATTATGATTTTTACTTAACAAAAAATATAAAATTATTAAACATTAATATTCAAAAAAAAAATGCCAACATGTAAAAAAAAAAATTACAGTTGACCGGCCGAACGTCCCAGCGAACATTCAGCAACTTACTAAGCTGACGGACTATTTTTGTAATACCATCTCTTCACCCAGACTAGCAATTCACTCGCCCAAGGCTCATCCTTGTCCGAACGGACTACCAATCCAGAGGCCGCAAACAATACAAACATGAACTACGATTACTGTTCATCTATCACAGTCTACTCCGGACTATGACGGCGGAAAACAAACGGGGCCTGAGAGTTATATAATACAATATATATTTGTATGGTAAAAATTAGGATGAAAATGTAAGAAAGTAGAGCTTTTGAGATATAAAAAAATGCAATAAAGAAATTAAAGAGACGAAAATATAAATAGATAGAAGACTGTGTTACCTTAAAAAATAGAGTTTCATGATTTCAATTTATGCAAATTCCTAATTCATCTTCTTAATTGTTCACAATTTATGTTTTATGTTAATCTAATACAGTCATATTTTCATATAAATTTTGGAAAAAAATGTGTATTGGTGGTAAATATAGATGGTTTTCCTTTCATACTCTCATGTCATAGTCACATTCTTATTATATGATTAGATTATATTAAAGATTTAAACAATTGAACAACAAAAATGGGACATTGACATTTGTATAGGAACCAAAAGTACGGGGATTGATTGTCACAATTTCATGTATAAGGACCAAAGTGAGAGTTGACCAGAAGTGTAGAGAGTTGACTGTCATGATTTCATGTGTAGGAGTCAAAATGAGATTTGGTGCAAAATGCAGGAGTGCAAAGTGAAATTTACCCTTATGATAAAGAAAATTACACTTTTTATTGTTTTAATTCAAACAATGTTAACTCTATAGTTGAAAATTGAAATTCAATTTTTAGGTTAGGTGCATCTAAACCATAAAAAAAATTATTAAAATATTAAATTTCTTGACTGAAAAAATACAAAAAATAAAAAATTTAATTTTTGAAAAATGGATTCAATTTTCTAAAATCAAACAAGGTGGATATAATAATTTTGTTTAAATTATTGTCAATTTTTTCTATAGGCACTCTTTATACGAGTGATATGTGTTTAAAATTCATTAATTTTTAACGTAATTTGAACCAAAAGAACAAATTAAAACCATATTTAAAGTTTAAGGTTAATTCTGTTGAAATTAAAATAATAGGGACTAAGTTACATTTGAATCAAATTTAATAGTGAATAGTTTTATTTAACTCAAAAAATATTAGTGATGTGATTGAAATATAAGTTAAAATTTTATTTTTCATTTTTTTTTCACAAATTACTTCATATTATCAAAATCAAAACAAAACACAGTGTAAATAAAACTCAGTCGAAGTTATTTTTTCACAACAATATATATATATATATATATATTTATACTATATTATTAAATCAAAACCCACATGTTTGTGAGTTTTGTTCAAATTCGGCCACTATGTTTGACAAAAAGAAAAGATGCCTCATGATGAAAAGTTGAAACAAAGGATTATGTAACAAAAGTCAATCATTTTTTTTAATAACTATCTATTTAATTAAAAAAAAATTCAAAAACATTAACTTTATTTTACTTCAAAAAAATCACAAAAATCAAATTACTAACAACCACAAGTTAATAGTTATAATATGTAAGTTTTTAGCATTTTATATTGCTTTTATTAAAGTTTCTTATGAGCTCCCTGTTTGATTCCCCCCACCTATATCAAATCCTTCCAGTCTGATCATCTAAACATTGGGCCACAGCCACGTATTGGTCCAGGCCAACTAGGCCATTTAAGCCCACTTCATTAATGATGTACTATATTTTATTAAGAGCGTGTGAGTGATTTTCTGATCACACTGTCCGTTTAGCAATCAGGTAGAGAGTACCAGCAGAATAGATGGCTTCAGCTAATCTGTAACAGAAAGAAAAGGTTCCGGCAGTGGCTCTTCCACCCGGGGGCACTTCGACGATCAAGTCAGTATATCTCTCAAAGATAATCAAGTGCTAAACTCACTACTCAAAGCATAAAATTGCGTACCTTAGACCCACGGGGTGCCTCTCTTTTATAGTTCACTTAATCCTAGTCCCATTAGAGGCCTGACTTCTATGGACTCCAATTCAGTACTTACTTTGGACTCTTCAAGAGATAAAGATAAACTCCCAAAGAGTTTTATCCTCATCTTAACTAAGTCTCCTCTTTATCCTAGGACTCTTGTCCCTTATCTTTTATCCTCTTATCTCGGATTCCGATATCTTCGGAGATAACCTCGGCCTTTCCGAGATCACCTCGCGCGTGACGACCAGGACACGTGGCACGTCGGCTGACACGTCGGCGTCACATTGCCACGCGTTGGTACTCAGAAAATATATCCCCACAAAGGGTTTAGTAGTTCTCAACTTTAGAGAGTATCTGGGCTTTATGGGCTAATTTTAGAGTCGATTTCAGTAATTTAAATTTTTTATTTTTTAGTGTTCACTTAGTAGAATATTTATACAAAAAATTAAAATAGTCGGATATTAGTAGTTATAGGTTTGAATTATATTTTTGTTACAAAAAATAAATTGCTACTTTAGAAATTATAATTATTGTATGCTATTTTAAAAACAAATGTAATTCAAGCATATAGTTACAGACCTCTGATAATCTTAGGCTCTGTTTGGTACAACTCTGAAAGGTTAGCTCAAAGGTTTATTTTTCACATGATATTTGTTTACGAGTTTCAAAAATTAATTCTACACTCATTTTTGAAAACTCGGTCGAAGGCGGGAAAATTTGGCTGATCGAACATCCCACTGGTCGTCCGGCCGGTTGACCGGAACAGTGTAATTTTTTTTTTTTGCAATTGACACTTGTTAATTTTTATATATTTAACAAAAAATATTTTCTGAATTTTTTAAATTTTTTATGAGTTTTAATAGAATTTTGAGTTGTGTGTTTAGTTATGAGTTGTAAGTTTTTATATCAAATATCATATGTCACATCAAAAATTTCCCACTCACTTCAAAACTTTTTTCAAAACTCATTCACTAAATAAATTTTTCACACTTAAATCATAATTCCAAAACTCATAAACTCAAAATACAATTCCTATTCTCAAATCATATTTAGAAAACGCTACTAAACGCTACCTTAATTTTTTTGCATAAATATTCTATAAAATGAATCTTAAAAAGTAAACTATTTAAATCACCGAAGTTAGCTAAAAATAAATTCACCAAACCGAAATGCTCTCCCAAGTTAGCTGGTTAACTTGAGAGAATCTAGCCCCTTTTATTAATGATAAGTTGAATGGAAATTATTCTATAATTTTAGAATGCCATGTAACGAATCACATAGTGAATTTTTTTTTACAGATAGAACATGTTGGCTCACATTTGTTAAGTAATTAAAAAATAGAAAATGACTCGTGTTGATATTTTTCAAAAGTACTATATAAATAATACTATATAATATTTTAAGGTCATGTTTGTTATGCCCCATGAATGGTAGGAAGTGGTAGGATTTGAGTGATAGTGAGGTTAGACATGTGAAGAATATTTGGTTGCAAAAATTTATAAGTGGATTATTAGTCTATTTGGATTGACAATCCCTTTATACAACCAAATTAACAAAGTTAGAGTAAGTATATAATTGAAAAAATAATGTGGGGATTAAATGCTATTTTTTTATTTATTGCTTTTTTTATTTTTATTTTTATCTTTCTCTAGTAAAAAATTCAGTGTATACTTTTTTTTCATGACTTCTTGAGTTCTCCTCGACCCTCTAACCGCCAAAACAACTGTACACTAACGACCCGGCCTCAGCTAAACTACGCAGAGTGCGCATTAAGCACCCACCCTCCCTGCAATCTCTCTTTATTATCCCTCCTCTCCTCACTCACACACCATTCAAATCAAACCAGAGTATTACACTATAAACCCTCTCTCTCTCTCTCTCTCTCTAAATCTATCAAACCCTTCAATTCATTGCTCACTTCCCAAGAAAACAAAGAAGAAAACCAAACCCAAACCCAAACCCAAACCCAAAATGTCTCTCTCTCTCCACACCTCCCTCCTCCTCGTCTTTCTCCTCTCTCTCCTCCTCCTCCGCGGAACCACCTCGCTTCCGGGCAGCATCGGCATGACCTACACCAGCAGCAGCAGCAGTCCTCCTCCGGACCACGTGGCCTCCACCCTCCAATCCCTCAAAATCTCGGCCGTCCGCCTCCCCAACCCCTCCCCCTCCGTGGTCCGGTCCTTCTCCTACTCCAACATCTCCCTCCTCCTCTCCCTCCCCAACTCCCTCCTCCCCTCCCTCGCCTCCAATCGCTCCTCCGCCGATCTCTTCCTCTACACCCACGTCATCCCCTTCTACCCCCGCTCCCACATCTCCTCCATCTCCCTCGGCTCCGACATCTTTTCCTCCTCCTCCGACCTCTCTTCCCTCCTCCTCCCCGCCCTCCGCAACCTCCACTCCTCCCTTATCTCCCTCGGCATCCACTCCATTTCCCTTTCCACCACTTTCTCTTTCGTCAACATCATGTCCACCGCTTTCCCTCCCTCCTCTGCCGAGTTCAACCAACCCATCTCCCAACTCATCATCAAACCCCTCCTCGATTTCTTGGACGAAACCAATTCCTCCTTCTTCGTCAATCTTTACCCTTACTCTGTCTACAGTCTCAACCACGATATCCCCATTGGCTTTGCTCTGTTTGAAGAACAAGAACCCTTCAATTTCCGGGAAGATTCGGTCACCGGAGTCAAGTACCGGAACTTGTTCGATGTCATGGTTGATGCTGTGATCAGTGCTATGGCCGTCGCCGGTCACGAAAATATTCCCGTGGTTGTGACGGAGACTGGGTGGCCGAGCTCCAGCAATGGCGCTGGAGATCCGGATGCTAGAGAAGGGTATGCTGAGATTTACATCAAGGGTTTGATTGATCATCTGAAATCGGGATTGGGTACGCCGCTGAGGAAGGAAGGGGTGGCTCAGACTTACATATATGAGTTGTTTGATGGGGATGAAAAACAGGGGAACGAAACAGGGGAACAGAATTGGGGAATTTTGTTTCCCAACATGACAGCCAAGTATCACATTGATTTCTCGGAGGCTTCTGGAGGACCTGTGGTGGAGATTGCAATTGGGTTTGTCTTGGCTGTTGTTGGTGTTTTGATCTTGCATTAGATCTTTCTGATGATTTATGTATGCAGCATTGATTTGCCCTGTTTCTTGGATGTGTTGTTGCTATGGACTGTTGATAGTTTCTTGATTTTTTGTTTTCAAGTAGAATTAGTGATTACAGTGGAACTCTGTGTTGATAAAGGAGTAGAAGGAAAGTTCAGTGTAGATTTGATTTGAGTAGTAGTAGTAGAAGATGAGTTTGGTGTGGGTAATTCTTTGTTTGTTGAAGGTGGTGGTGATTGATGTAGAGTGGATTCTTTCATGAAAAAAATTCATTGGAATGTGAATGTTTTCTGCACCGAAATTTGTTTGCATCCTTTTAGTACAAGAAATGAAAATTGTGGTTTGTGGAATCTACAATCCTTACTCCATTTTTTATTTTTTATTATTATTATCAAATTTGAGTGAACGTTGTAGTTAAAAGTTTGATTTAATTTGAAACACTGTAATCTTTACTATACTTTTTTTTTTTTTGAAAAAATTGAAACTCTTTTAACATATTTTTTAAATGAAAAAAGCTGTCTCTAACTTTAATTATTTACAAAATTTCATCAAATTTAATAAATAAAAATATAACCTTACCTCAAATTTTAATCAAACCGTTTATTTTAACCTACTTGTTGGTTCAAAATTCTCATTATAATCAACCAACTCAAAATTTTAGCTCAAATTATCTTTTCTTATGTTTTGTCGGCACACTCTATCCAACTTGTTGGCTCGAAATTCTCATTATAATCAATCAAACTCATAACCTTACCTCAAATTATCTATTCTTATGCTTTGTTCACACACTCATAAAAATGAATGAACAAATTCATTTTCAGCAATTTCAGTACAATACGATCCATTAGCATAACAGTCTATAGCACTAGAATGCCACTTTCCCAAGACACAAGCCAGATCAAAACAAACTATATTTTTTTTTTATAACAACAGAACAAACTATTTTGTTCTAACATTTTCTCCTCCAAAAATTACATTAAAAAAAAAAAAAAAAACTTTTCCTAACTCTGATTAAACCTAATAAATATCCAGAAACCAGTAGAACTGTGAAGGGGATCAATCCGAAATACACTCCATAACCAAACCTTCATCTACAGAAAATCCTTGGCCATTGACTGGACCAAGCATCGTTCATTGGCCTGAATCCCAATCTCTAGCTGCTTCATATGCTTAAATTGGAAACTGTAAGCATACAAAGCACTGTCACTACCAGTTTTTCTGAAAATTATATTGCTGCCATTTCTCAAGCTACCAATGGGATCAGGAAGAACTATACCGGAATGTATACTTGACGAGACATAGCAAATATATCTTATAGATTGAAGCTTCTCCCATGTTGTTTTCAAAATCCATATGTCAACTTGTGAACCAGAAACTGGAAGTAGAAGAGAGAGACGACCACCAATCTCTGTCAAAAAGTATTCGTTGCTTTTGAATGAATTACTGTACTCTGGAAGACGAGTTTGGAAAAACCTTTCTTCAGCTACGTCCATGGAAACTATGAATTCAGCAGAATGAACATCCCAGTGAAGAAACCTCCCTTCAACTGAAATAGGGTCATCCCAATAATATCGCCTTTGACCCATATAAGAAGGTCCGCTGATTTTTTCCCACTTCGAGCAATTAAAAGACGATAATTTGCATTCCAAAACAAGAATTTCACACTCAATCCAATGCAGGCCAACATATACATGAACTACCTTATATGATCCTTTAATTTTATCAAATGCGAGACCGATCCCACACTTGCACCCAAAATGTCCTTTGCAGCTTGATGAACATGGAGGGAGAGTTGACCCGTCCTGGGTATTTACATTGAAGATGTAGAGAGCACCGAGATTGTGTGGATCTGTTATCAAAAGTAATTCGTTACACCATGACCTAATCCGTCCTCTACAAGGTATGTTAAGATCTTGCACTGTTGTCCACAACTTGAGTTTTTTTTCATTCACTTCACGACGAGTTTCATAAATGTGCCTGTTTTCCCTGATTGGCCTTTGGATGATTAAAGAGGCGAGATCAAACAAGATCCTGTTGGAAATTAAATTGAACCATCGCTTGCAAACATACTTCAACTTGAGCCGGAGCAATTCAGTTGGAATCAGAACCAGAATGTTGAAAAGGATATCATCGGGAAGAAAATCAAAATAATTGACTCTCTTCTTCCTCCTGATAACAATTTTTGTTTCCATTGTCATCTGTTCCAAATGAAGTAAAGTCTTCTCTTATTGAAAATTCAGTAAAAAGATATACAATGAAAGATTCACACAAATATACACACTTCAATATGAAGATGAGAAATTTTCAGTTTTGCATATTCTATGAAAAGATAGGGAAAAAAACAAAAAATACTGAGAAACCCACTACTTGGAAATTTCCTCCAAAACAGCACTTATCATGAGAGCCATGAATTTCAGCAGAAGGAAGAGAACTCTGACTGAAGAGAGTCCTAGCTTTATGTTTATCCATCGTATGACATTCAAGTGAGTGTAACCAAAGTTTCAACTTTTGTTTGAGTGATGCACAAAAGTCGAATACTGTCTGCATTAGTTAATGTGTGGATTGGACCTCTATTATTTTTGTTCCATTCATTTTTAAGTAAAAACTAGACCAACCAACTAAGCCTGCACTAATGGTTGAGTTTTTAACTATATGATCCCATGGCCAGGTCATTATGGTTTGCAAACAAGCATTCCTAAATCTGCTACTAGGCTGTCGTGTTTATCAAGCAATCCATGAGATGGACAGTTTTAGCTTTCCAAAAAATGCAGATGATATGAGAATCCACTCGAGCAATGACCTTCAAGCAAGTTACAAGGTAATTTAATCTAAGGATTTTTTTTTTTCTTCTCCTACTTGGGAACTCGACCAAGTGTTACTATACAAGGACTGGACAGAAGATAACAATTGAATGCAAAAGAAAGAATGAACGGCTTTAGAACTTTCAAAATTACTTCCATCTTTCTTACCCTTAAATACTTGTCTATGCATGCATATATTCCTATCTTGGATGACTATATGTAACATACCATTCTGAAAGCACTTGTCTGCTTGTTTCTTCAAAAGTGAAAATTAAAGCAGCTTTTGGTGGCTGATGCTTTGCCTAATAAAGAAGGGCATGATTGTGCAGGGTAACTTCAACTGGTAATTACCAGGCTTACACCCAATAATAATTACTTGGTCCATGTGGGATGGGGACCAAATGTACTGAAAGACTAATTGGGATGAAGCCTGGGACACCCTTGTGAACAAAAAAAAAAAAAAAAAGAAAGAAGAAAGAGTTCTACGAGGCTCATTTTAGGTCAAATAATATGTGAGGAAATACTGGGCTCCCCCCATCCAAATTTGTTTTGCAAATTGTTTTTGAGAAAAGTTTCTGAAAACAAACATTTTAAGAAACATCAAAAAAATATTTTTAAATTTTCGAAAACTGTTTTTGCACAAAAATGAAAACCATTTGAAAACTTTTCACTGTTTCATTTCTGAAAACACAAAAACCAAAACCAAAACCAAACCCCCCCCCCCCCCCCCCATAAAAAATAAAAACAGATAATTTTACAATCAGAAGAATTCACTTTCACTTTTCAGATGTGATCACAAGAACAGCATGAAAAACAACATCAATATCACTTTTTTTGTTATACAAATATATAAGAGGACATAAAACAACACCAATTCAAGTTTAATTGTTTTACTAATTAAAAAAATCTCTCCATCAAGCACTTAAACAAAAATTCACCTGAAAATTACACTCTCTCTCTCTCTCTCACACACACACACACACACACACACACACACATATATAGACAGATATATTAGTTTAATTCGATTGTTGTCTGAGAAGAGTGAAATTTCTGGGAGACTTACCAGAAAATCACTCCATCAAGCATTTAAGAATTCACCTGAAAATCGTACATACACACTGACACACACACACACACACACATATATATATATATATATATGAGTTGGAGAAGAGTGAAATTTGTGAGAGACTCACCGGTAATCTGAGAAGAAGCGCCGGTAATCGGGAAATCGATAGGGGAAGGTGAGAATCGAGAACTAGGGTTTGGATTTAGGGTAAAATGTGGCGAGGTGATAATTTACCAAGGAAATGAGTCGGGCAAGATTACAATTTATGAGAAAGATTACAATTTATGAGGTTTGTCATCTCTATATATATATATGAAAAATCTACAACTCAAATCACTCTTTTTCTCAATTTTTCAGAAAAAAGTTCATGAATATTTTGAATTTTGTTGCAGGGAATTTTTTGGGTGAATTTCAGTAGAGTACATGTTTTGAAAGATTATTACAAATGAGTGGTAAATTTTATATAATATTTCATAATTCATTTGAATCCAATAAATTTAAGAGTGCAGTGAGGTGGAAAGGTGTCTCCTTCTACGTAGGTCTCATTTGGTGTTACTGTTAAAACAGTTTATAAATTATAGTTTAATAGATTATAAATTATGATTTTAATTAAAAATTGTTAATTTATTTGGTGTAACTGTTGAATTATAGATTTAAGTTGCTGAGTAGTGTTTGCTAAATAAGCTGTGAAATAGCTTTTTAATTAATTTTTATTTTTTGTTTGTCTACATTTCTCATAAATAATAATAATAATAATAATCTATAGTCCATTTGGGTCTTTTTCTATTTTTAAAAAAATAAAAAATAAAAAAATTTAAGAGTAGAACCAAAAATTAACATGTCCACAGCAGAAGCTGATAATCAGAAGCAAGGGGTCAGTAGCTTCTCAGAATCAGCTTTTTTGAGTTAAAATAAGCTGTTAGAATCAGAAGCTGTTTGAAATAAGTTTAACCAAACAGTCCAAAATAACTTTTTCAAAGCTAAAAGCCATAAGTTAGCTCTGAAAAGCTGAAACAAACACCCCCATAGTTTAGTAGAGCTCGACTCTTTGGGGGCATGATTGGGATATATTCTGATTGTGACTCTATTTCTTATGTTTGTGGTTGACGACAACCGATTATTTTAGAGCCATGACCCACGGATGTGCTTACGAAGCGTCAGTCATCTTTTTTGTGTTAAAAAAAAAAAAAAACAAAAAAAAGAGGGCTATTAAATGTCTCTTATCTTTTTTCTTACGACTCCCGCCAAAATTGATTATTTTCTCATTTTCCTTTGGGCTCCTATCATAATTCTAAATATACCCTTACCCCAGGCAACTTCACCTCAACTCCGGTAACCCCTTCCATAGCCCTCATCCTCTATTGGAGACTCTCTTTTAGCCCCCATTCCTCACCGATAGTCAACCATCACCACCCCAGCAGTCAACCAAGGAGGTGTATCGACGGCATGGCATTCCTTGCTTATGCTTAGGGATCGTCGATGTGGGATGTAATGATAGCAAAATCGCCAGAGATGGAAGAGGAGGTCGTATGCCTCTCTCTTTCTCTCTCACACACTTGATCTTTCTATCTCTCACAGTGGCTAGGATTTAGGGGCTAGGGTTTTACAAAGAAGTTGTGGTCAACGGTCTAGGTTGTAGTGGTGGCAAAATCGCTGAAGATGGAATGAGAGGTGGCCTCTTTCTCTCCCTTTCTGATGGTGGCTAGGGTTTAGTGGCAAGGGTTTCGCGAAGAAGTTGTTGTCGACAGTGGTAGTGGGTGGTGATAGAATTAGGGCTAGGCTTTCAGAAGAAGAGAAGAAGAGGAAGAGGAGGAGGATAAGGAGGGTTGCTGGTAAGGATGAAGATAGAAGTGGTGGCTGTAGGCGGAGAGTGGAAGTGGTGGTGGGTTGGTCGTCGGAAGGTGTCGGCGAGAGTAGAAGTGGTGGTGAGATTAGGGTTAGGTTAGATTTGGAAGGATAAGGATGGGTACAAAATTAGAATTTAATGTTAGGACAAAATTGTAATAAAAAAAAATAAGGGTCTAAAAAAAAATGTAGGGGCATTTAGTGGTCTTCAAAAAATATATATATATATATATATATTTAACGACAGAGAAGACCAAACACAAAATGTGACACAAATGTCTCACAATGTAACAAAATATGAGACATCTATATTTCATTATGTGTTTGGTTTATTTTTTTCCTAGTATTGTTGTTTGGGTCTCTAATATTGCTCTTTTTAGATATACTAAATAACTACAAAAGTAAAATATTTGTGAAAAAATCTAATTTCTTTTGAAAAGATTAGGCTCGGAATTATTGGAAGAATTCATTACACAGAAGTTTTTTCTTTGGCGTTTCCAAAAGTTTGGAATATATTGATTTCTGAAACAAAGTGGGTTGTTATGTTTTGATTTAAAACTATTAGGCTTTGTAACAAATTTGGTCTGAAACATCTGAAATAGAGTGGGTAATGCTGATTGTAGAATCTATTGTAGATTGTGAAACAGGGTTGTTTCGAATCCTCCGAAGTAGAATCGATTATTATTTGCAAAAGTGTTTCAGTGGGTTGTGACTGATAGTTATTTCGAATACTCCGAAATAGAGTCTATTATTAATACACAAAACCTAATTGAAAAAAATAATCCAAGGGCTACTAGTTTGCTAGTAAGGCCACTTCGAATCATCACCACTCATTCAAAGTAGACCAATTACAAAAATATTTTCATGATTTTTCTTTATTTGAATTTAACAAAATTTCTCTTACTACCATTCATGAGAAGGTAGTGTAGGAGACAAATATTGAACAAGCCACAATAGTGGAATTATTTTAAAAAAAACAATCATATTAGAACAGCTCCAACGGTAAGGCATTGGAGCTGCTATTGTTATAAAATAGTATGGAGTTCATTTTTTTCATCTCTAATGGTGAGCTATCAAAACTGCTAAATTATACTTTTGCAATATCTTCTGTTAAATTTGGCAGTAGTTTTACCTATAGTTAAAACTAGTAGTGTAACAATTTTGGAAGGTCAGTGGTCCACCGAGTGGTTGACCACTTTGCAGAAATTGGAAGGTATAGAATTTGAAACCCGTCGGTCATCCAGTTAAACTAAAAATAGCAATCTTACCGTTGGAGCAACATTGCTATTTTATAATTTTTTTTGCATTGTTTATTGCTAAATTATAACTTTAGCTATCGTTTTTACCAATTGACCATTGGAGTTGCTCGTGATGTTTGAAAGTGTTTGAATTTCAGAATGTGTTTGGTTATTTGGTAGATCTAGGTTGTTGTATGATGTTTAATAAGTTTGTAAGGATATTTTCGAGATACGAAAAAAGTATAAATTATTTTTGTTTTTCATACTTTTAAAATAGTACTAGATTTTAATTCTTTTTACACCTATATCAACTCTAACCAACATTTTTTGAGAGAGAATTAATATTTATCCCTTTTTAGACCTTTAATTAGTATAATTTTTGGATTTTTAGTTTGAAGTCCATGATATTAAGATTTTATAAGATAAATAACATGTAATATTTTTATAGTTACGGTCCCTCAACATTTTTACAGAAAAATTTTAGCATAGAGAAATTTCAAACAAATTTCTTTGTGAAGAGAAATTTCAATTCCTCACAAAGAAAATTAAGAGTGCATAAGAAATTTCTCTGATATGATCACAGAAAAATTTAACAAAATTATCACAAAGAAATTTTAAAAATGAAGAAATTTATTTATTGTTTATAAACAGACTCTGGTTATTGTTACTTGTAACTGATATTTGTATTCTTGTTGCCTAATGGGGACTGATGGAGAGGATTGGATGGATGGAAATCCAAATACGCATATCAGTAATACTAGCAACTTGACAGATTGTCAACCACAGGGTGGTTAGCCTAGTGGGTGACGACTGGAGCTTGGAGGTTCTCTCCCTTTCAAGTCTCAGGTTCGAATCTCCTAGCCAAACACATACCTTGGGACCACGGACCGCAGGGCGTAAGCCCTGTTTTTGGAAGGCTTGTTCGGACTCTAAAGACTTAGCCTGGTGCGCGTAAGCTAGCTTAGGATACCCTACATAATCAAAAAAAAAAACTTCACAGATTGTCCTCCTCAGAGAGTTCCAATTGCTCTAAAAAACTTCACAGATTGTCCTCCTCAGAGAGTTCCAATTGCTCTATTTGTGGTTCATGATGTATCAAGACCAAATTTCTCAGCATATCCGGCAAAAAAATGGTCTTATAATGAATTTCATTTACAAAATTGTCAAAGTAACATTATCTTATAGGATAATTTTGTATAAATTTTTTATATTTTGGAATCATGATTAATAAAAAAACAGATGTACAAAGTATATATATATATGCATAAGAGGATTAAAAGACTTGTAAAATTCCATAACCCAATAGGACAATTCTGTATAAATTTTTTATATTTTGGAATCATTATTGATAAAAAAACAGATGTAAAAAGTATATATATGCATAAGAGGATTAAAAGACTTGTAAAACTCCATAACCCAAGACCAACTACATAAAAGCATCTAGTTTAATTTTAATATTAAAGTATTTATTAACGGACAAAAAAAGAAAAGTATAATTTAAATTTGTATGTTAAATATTTGTTAATTTAAAGAATGACAAGTGTAATAGTGTAGCTAAAAGATCTATTAGAGGCTGTTTGGGATCTCATAAATAAATCACATTAGAAATGAATTTTTTATATATCTTTATTAAAAAATATATAAATAAATACCATAAAAGTAAAATAATAAATAAAATGAATAAATGAATTGTTTTTTAAAATCTGCATATTCAAGTAATTCAATAAGATAGATTCACCAATCTAATAGGTATCAAAGATTCAACTCATAAGAAATCATTAAAAATATTTTATTTATAATTAAGTTTCCTACTTTTACATCATTATTTGAATAAAGTTTTACACCAAGAGTCGCATTTGATTTTTGTGAATTTAGTAAATCATTTAACACATTCATTAGAGCAAAAATTTTTAAAAATTTTAATTTAATTTGCTAACTGTGTAATGACTTACCCTACTGAATATTTTAATTTATCCATTGGAGATGCCCTAACTACTATTGGAGAGAGAATTAGATCAATCTAATTCAATCCAACAGACTTTTTTCAATGTTTTGATCTGTTTATTTTTAAGCTTGTGTAATTACAATTATCGTTCATTTCAATGACAACAAATTTGCTATCATCATGTCGTTATGATTATCATATAAATTTGATTTTTTACGTGAATTATCAACTGACAAGTTTAAAAATAAACAAATCTAATCATCAAAGTGAGTCTTGTACCACTGGACTGATTCAGTCCCTCTCTCGATCTAGCGAGAAGCCAAACCCTTCTAAAAATGAGCTCTCTTATGAATCCAGCTGTTGCAGGTTTTGATGCCCAACCTTTTTGTGGTGCTATATAACCTCTGAACAATACAAACATGAAATGTACCAAAATCATATTTCTACCCATTCAGATTCCAAGCAAAAGAATTTCTTTTGAGCACCATATATTTCCACAAGCAATAGTAACATTCATTTGTTCTCATAATGATAATTACAAAATATACAATTCAAAAACACAACTCAAATAATTGAGACAAGCCTATTCTATTTTCTTGCCTCTCATACTTGGTGGTGATGATACCCTCCAAGAGCAGACAACCATCAAATTTACATAAAGCAACTCTACCACAAATTGTTTCCTAGAAAATACTTTCAATACTATGAATTTCAGTACTACCAACAATTAAGGCCGAGCAGAATATACAACCGATGGGCCCCCAATGAGGAACACGTGAATGAATTAGATACTAGTTGTGCCGCCTCAGAAACATGATGTACTATTGAGGCAGGTTTGTGCTTTCAAAATAATGCTCCATGTGATAAATAGGGCTTGGAAGTTTGAACATGCGATTTCCTGAATATGGGCCTGTTAAAGCATCCATTTGGCTGCTAATCACAGCTGTGATGCGGCAGCTCTGTTTCTGCAGTGAATTTCTTAGTCTGGAAAAGTATTCACGGCTATCCATTTGCATTTCATCTTCCAATCTGTGACAATTCCAATCATTTCAACTGTGAAGTTGATATCAAATAAAGAACGAAATTCCAAGTTTGAACAACTACACGTCGGCACACCCTAGAAGAGTAAATGAGCTATATATTGGCAAAATTCATCACAAGGTTAATGGCTTCACAAATAGAAAAATTGCGATGGTTATATGGCATATAGTGATGAGGGATTGTAACTGTTTTGGACAAAAAGTAAACATCAATTTTCCAATAAAGACTTCTTGAACTCGCAAAATTATAACCAAAGAGAGATCGTTCATAAAAGATCAGCCTAATAGAGTTAATAACCATCCAAGCATCAGACAGTGTTTCAGGAAAACAAACGAAGATCGAAACTGAAAGCAATAAGAATATATGCAAAAAGGTTGAAGAAGCTATGGTCAGCAGATTCAAAAAATTCAGGTGAAGATTTAAACTAGACATAGCTCATAGGGATTGTTCCAGGAAGGGGACTTCAAACGAGAAGAGAGAGAATGGGGGAGATATAGAGAGGAAACCTTTAAGTTGAAATATATGTAATATTGATTGTTATTGATTGATATATTACAAGATTGATAAATTACAATTCCTATACAATCTATATATAGAAGAAAATGTGGTAGTAGGTGTAGTGGAGGTGATAGTGGGATAGGTGAAGTGGAGTGTGCGGTGAAAGTGGAGGTAGGTGAAGTGGAGTGTGTAGTGGAGTAGGTGAAGGTAAAGATGGGAAATTCTAACACTTTATATATTCGTTCATGAAAAACAGTAACATGAATTCACATATTGATAGCAATGATGATCAGATAATCAGCTCATCATCATAGTAGCTATTTGACGAAGAGGAACATGACGGGAAGCACATCAACTAGTAAATTTTGCTCAAGGCAACGGTTGACAAAAACATATTTTGAGAAATAAATGGTTTGCAGGTCTTTGTCAATTTGTGAAGGAAAAGCCTCGCGTCCCAGAAGGTGTACTAGAAAGCTAATCAGATCCTTATATCAATGATGCAGATTTAAAGGTGTTATTGTGGGAGCCTACCTTAAGTGAATCTAGACCATTAATGTTATATTCTGGACACTTTTCTGGTATTTTTAGTCTGGGATTGTAGCATTGCAGATTTGTGAATTCATCATAGCAAGAAAGAAAGGAATGAAGAGACGGTACCTCATAACCAATGAAGACCAACCACCATATCCAGCAGAAATAAGGTACTCTATGGTGGCATTCCGTTGTTTCTCAGGTTTCCTTGAGAATAAAATCAATTTCCACCCACCAGCTTGAAGTTTTGTGTACAATTTCAGAATGAATATTTGTTTCAGATTTTTTGCCTCTTGAAGACAATCACCACAACCAAATTGACTGATTCTGAAATCATATTTTCAAGGACAATCAAAGTGCTATATAAAACATTAAATACAAAATTTCTGAACTACTAAGGAATACAAGTAGTTTAGAAAGAACAAAGTAATCTTGGTGGGTGAATATATTAAGAGAGGATATCCGAGTCAGCATAAGAAACCAACTTTACAAGAAGAACCACTAGCACATTAAGGATCTAGGGAGTAATTCTTGTTTCTATTCTCATGTCTCAGGATACATGTGCTACTCAGAGAAACATTGGATACAAGAAGTAAATTGATGAGGAAAAAAAAAAGAAGAGAAAAATGAATAGCCAAAAAGGGAAATATGGAAGGACTTCATTTAGTTTTAAATCCAGACAGTTTGGGAATGAAGAATTTTGCAGACAAAATCCAGTTCCAGCTTTTGAAAATGATTTCATCCCTTGAACAGGGACTTCAGGACAATTGACCAACTTTACATGATAAATGACATGTTAATTAATTTTGCGCTCCACAATGACCCAAAGTGACAATTTTAGCATGAGAAAGAGGAAAGGAGCGAGTCAGTCTTATATGTAACAGCTTTGCAGAAAATTACCGAGACTGCAATGGATCAGTGCAATGAGAAGTTAAAGGCAAAAAGTCATCTATGTCCATCAACACCATATCTAGACCATCCTCTAGCGGCCTAACTCCATTGAAGTAGTTTTCAGCCACCCCCATTGTAAGATTTAAATCTTTCGCATATTGACCTTCTTTTATGTACTGAACAGCAGTAATCCTACAGATTTCAGGGAACTGATCTACATCCAAACTGTTGAGCTCAGCATGCAGAGAGAAGATCTTGCAGTAATTGTAATTTTCATTTGCTTTCGATATCTCAACAATTCCCGCGTTCCTACTTTCACAGGATTGCAACATTACTGTTAATGCAATCAGCAAAGTGACTAATAAAACCCCGCATGTTACAAGTGCAGCAAGGAAAAGAGTTGCAGCAAAAGATGTCATATAAAACCCTGCTTCCACCACATAATGGCTTCCAATCTCTGCATTAGGCCAGAAGAGCAACCTTAATTAATAATAGCTAATGAAGATAAAGCCAAAGATATCATTGCAAGACAATACACCCAGGAAATATGACAAATTGACTACACTGAATGGCTATCCCTGAATGCCATCTTTATGTTAATTAACCCAATTGGACGACTTCTTGTGTATAATCGTGGTTTCAATCACACAATGAAGCAGTAAATAAAGGAACAACCACACACAGAAAACAAGTACGCAAGATAAACATGGAACGATTACAAGAACAAATCCACTATAGTCAATATGGATTACAAGAAGACTCTCAACCTCTTAATGCAGCTCCCTATTATGTAACACTCTTTGAACCCTACCAGGAAATTACAATATAAACTTCCTTGTCGTCGGGCCTTGGCCCTCTACCATGGTAAAAGGCCCCTTGTTGTACTCATAAAATAAATACAAGACATCTCACAACAAACCTAAACATCCATTATATATTTTTTCTTGGAATTTTCCTATGAAGGATATGAATGCTAGTTTTTGAAGTAACTGGCACAATCATATTTATGCTCTGAAGATATGTTAAATTAAATCCCAGTGACAGAACCTGCAAATTAACCAATCTCTCTTCATCCATTCAGATTTTTGAAAGATATACTCCATATTCTGTACCCTAGGGAGCTACACCATTGTTTCTCCTCCTTTTCTCAAATCAATGAAACAATGTATTACCATCAACAAGACAAAAGATTGTAAAAAAGCAAATGCTTACCAGAACCTCCTCTACTTGAAAGACTTCGGTTGGAATATTCCCTCTCCATTTGATGGGCATAGGCAGATACGTAAAGAGTCGAACTAGCAAAAAATGACTAAAATGATGCACCCAAATAGATCCACAAGATCTCTTCTAGATGATAGAAGGGATAGCTGCAACAACAGAAATCAACTGATTGGTACCAATGTCATCAAAATTCATATTGGGAGCTGATAATATCAAGGTGCAAATTGACTCCAAGAAAGTTGGGCTTACCATGTTCACTACCAACACCATATCTCAACTTCTTTCCCTCTCACATAGAACACATAGAAAAGAAAAAAATAGTAGCAAGTTACTTCAAAACATACATTTAAATTCTAATCATCCTCCTACAAGCATATCTCCAATCCTTCACCAATTCTTTCATCAAATTCAAATTTGATAAATAAAGAGCTAAAAAAGTGAGCTCTAATTGTTTCATCAAACTAGTGTCAAATCAAGGAAAGGCAAAATTTTCACCAAATCCCCCAAATCAAAATTCCCAATAGTCATATTTCTACTCAAATTTGATGAAATTTTAAATAGAGTAAGCGTTTTTTATTTTTTGGGTAGCAAATAGAGCAAGGATTGGAGATGGTTTCTTTTATCAAAAATGGTTAAAACAGGGTTTTAGGATAAGTTTGGAACTTTTTAAAAAGATTTGATGAAAAAATAAAATTAAAAAAGATTGGAGTGTCCTATACATATATCAAGGATAAACCAAATCCTTTACAAAATTTCCAAGTCATATTTTTACTCAAATTTGATAAAATTTTAAATAGAGTAAGGATTGGAGATGGTTTTCTTTTGTAAAAAATGGTTAAAACAGGTTTCAGAACAAGTTTGGAATTTTTAAAAAAGATTGGAATGTCCTGTACCATATTTCCTCTCAAATTTAATGAAAAAATAGAGTAAGGATAGGAGAGGGGGAGAGAGAGAGAGAGAGAGAGAGAGAGAGAGAGAGATTGGATTCACAAAATTGAGAAGGGATGAGACGATCACCACCATCAAATTAAAGGGCAATTGCAAAAAAAAAAAAAAAAAAAAACCCAAAAGCTGGATAAATTTCTAATTTCTCTGCAATCAATCATCTCATTGCACGGTCACAAAAGTGACTCATCAACCAACAAAAGGGCAAATCCTTTGATTTTTTATTCTCTTAATCAGCTCGAAAACTCACAAAGTGAATTCCATATGTACAAAGCTAATCAATCACCCAACAATCGAACTGCAACCTCGTGAAAGTCCGATCAAACTCACACACACACACACACACACACATATATATATATATATATATAGAGAGAGAGAGAGAGAGAGAGAGAGATACCAGCAGGGTTCTTGAAGGCCCAAAGGGACGATGAAGATCGTACTCAGTAGCAAAGGAAGTTTCGCCATTATCTCTTTTCTTCTGGATCCGGTCCAATCCAAGAGGTCCTTGGGTTTTGCAGCATTGGAATTGAGGGACAATTTGGTATAATTGGATATTATTAGAGAATTTTTATTTTTATTTATTTATTTATTTTTTTGGTGTTTAGAAAGATAGGCGAGTTTTTTTTGGTTAAATGTGATATTTGTGAAAAAAAAAACAAAATGATTATAAGATTTAATGTGATATTTTGTTTGAATTTTTTGTTTTTAAATTTTGTAACTAATTTATCTTTTAACAAAATAAAACAAAAAAACAAACTTGAAAACTAACTTCCCAAACACCCCATAATACAAAACAGATTCCAAGGTCCTACTCTCATACGGTTCGAATGAAACAGAAAAAAAAAAGAAAAAGTCCTACTCTTATAGCTCTCTGACTTGAGAAGTTATTGGTTGAATTGTGATGGATGAAAGGAGTAGACTAACTCAGGTATGGGTGGTATTGTGGTTTAGGGTTTAAGCTGCAAGGTCGCAGGTTTAATTCCTTCTCTCTTAGGTTAATTTCTTGGACGAAGCACAGTTAGTTAGGAGGTTAGATTTCAAGTTGTCTAATCAGCACTTAGTAGGACATTTTGGTGACTTCTGCAAGGGGCTCTATCGGCTCTACCTTCGACCTGCGGGAGGTTAGAAGGTTGGATTTCAAGTTGTCTAATCAGTACTTAGTAGGACATCTTGGTGACCTCTGCAAGGGGCTCTATCGGCTCTACCTTGGACCTGCGGGAGGTTAGGAGGTTGGATTTCAAATTGTCTAATCAGTACTTGGTATCTACCTTGAACCTGCGGGAGGTTAGGAGTTTGGATTTCAAGTTGTCTAATCAGTACTTGACAGGATATTTTGGTGACCTTTGCAAGGGGCTTTACCTTGGACCTGCGGAAGGGTAGGGAGGATTTTCCTGTAACAAAAAAAAGAAAAGAAAAAAGAATAAGTCTTCAAAATTTATGTTAATTGATTAAAAACTAAAAAAATACATGATAAATTATAATTACTGTCAGGTATAGTTACATAACATCTGATCAAATTACTGTCAGCTATAGTTACATAACATCTGATCAATCAATAATTTTTTCTACTACTTTCGTCCATAGCCCCAAAAAACCAACACGTCAGGTGAAATCACATTCATTTTGAAAAATCGTAAAGGGTTAGGCTTTTCTTTTAATTTGTGACCGGTTGGGACGTGTTGTTGGGTTTGTGGATAGGGACGGAATTAGGTGAAAATTATGAGGGATCATAATCCTCTTATTTTTTTGAAGAATATTGTTTGTCACATAACTTTAAAAATAACTTTAAAAATATATATGTATATATATTATACATAAAATGACCTCTTAGTATAAAAAAATTATATCTCATTATTCTCTGATCTTGCATTCTCTTTCTATTTTTCACAAAAAAACTTGTTCATCCTATTAGAAATTACTTGTGGCATTTAATTTTTTTTCTATGTATATATAATTATATAGCAAATTGTACATACATGTATGTTTGTGTATATGATGGAAAAAAAAAATCTTTTGGCCCATCAAATAATAAAATCCTGATTTCGTCCCTATCTGTGGAGGCCAATCACATATCCCATTTCAATAATTCGAACCGTTCAATGTGTAGAACTCATTGGGTACTTTATTCTTGTAAAAAATCACATTGATCGGATATCGATAGCTACTTGATCGGATTATATTTCTATCAACGGTAAATATAATTTTTAAAATAAATTGTTGACATAAATTTGATCCCATCAACGTGATGTTTGAGAATGATAAAGTATTCGATGAACTCTACACATTGAACGGTTCGAATTATCGAAATATGACCCATGACGAACTCCACAGGCCCAACAATATCATTAAGTCTACTTTGTGGACTAGAGACAAGCGGCCCTCAATGGTAAATTTCATTTCAACACCATCTAAGTGGTGTTTGGATAAGTTCGTTATTTTAATTGATTTTTTAGTTTTTTTTGTAAATAGTTATTTTAGTTTGGTTAAAAAAATTGTGTTTAAAAAGTTAGACTTTTTTTTATTTTATATATAGTTAATTTAATAATTGTGAGAGAAAAAATAAAATGATTATAATTTGGATATGATATTTTTGTGAATATTTTAGCTTATTTTATTTTTATTGACTATTTTAACTAAAAAAGTCATTGTCATATAATAGAGATTAAATTTGTATAATATAGAAATTATAAGTAGAATAAAAATAAATCTGAATTACAACATGATAATTCTCAATAATTTTTGAATAGTTAAATCTAGTATCACAGTATTACTAATTACATTTTGCAAACGTCCATGTCACCTTGTTACCTCATATTTTTAAATGAGGAATTAACAATTCTGTGTATATTTGTTTAAAAAAAATTCAAATTAGTGAAAAATTTCACAAATTTTAATAATCAAAATCATATATTTTTTTAGTAATTATTTTGGGAAAAAACCTAGATTCCTCTTTTTAGAGTGTAACTGCCAATACTTCCATTTTGAAAATTGGTAATATATTAATAAACTTTCTTACATAATTAAATGGTTACATAATTAAATGGTTACGACGTCTAATAAGGTATGAAAAAATATTTGAGACATTTATCATCTTTAAAAATCACTCTTTATAATGTTTTTAACAAGTGTTAAATTTTAATTTGTCAAACATTCTATGTAGTATTGTTCTAAAACATGTAAATTAAAGAGACCAAAATAAATAAATAAATAAATCACTCCATGCCCTTGCTTTGTGGCCTGGTTGTTCTGATGGCACGAGGCATAATAATCAATGTGAAAATCGACAGCGTATACACCAACTTGCTGAAATTTAATTTGGTTTGATTTCTTTTTCTCAAATAGGGTTTAAATCATGACTTTAGATTAAAAATTTAAAAATATAAAAGAAAAGAAAAAAAATAAACACAATATAAAGGAATATAAATTAATTTTTTTCCATTTATAAATTCCCCATCCAAACAAAGCAAAAAAGTACACAAAGGTAATCAATGATCCCTTCTGGTACTTAACTCGGTTTTAATAAAAGACTGACAATCTTCCACAAATTCTTCATTCCACTTAACAGTTTTGATCTTAAAATTTTCATCTCATCCCAAAAAATCTTTCCTTTTTGAGTCACACAATCTCACATATTCAATTCACCTGCAAAGCTTGAACGAGGGTCAAATGTATCATCACCACAATACAAATCTGTACTATGAAAATTAGTTACAAAATATTCAACCCTCAGTTTTCCTCCAAAATGTGCGTTGATTGTGTTCAGTTATTATTTTCCTCAATTATAGAGTTGCTCAAAGGCATCACGCAGTGTAAATCTTCGAAGGTGAACAAATCCATATTACTGGTAAATTACTTGCAATTGTTCTCAGTATCAGTCCAATATCCTAGTCTGTTCACTGAATTCACAGCCATATCAACTGCTCTAGCCAATTCAACTGCTGCTCCAACGTAGGTATGTGGGGTTAACTCCAACAGGTTGGCCTTTGCTTCAGTGGGCAATTCCAAACCTTCAATGAACTCCCTTATGCTTTCCCTGGTAACTGCTCTTCCTCTGGTTAGCTCTTTCAGCTTCTCATAAGGCTCTGGGATGCCATATCTTCGCATCACCTAGATATAGAGAACAAACATGAAAGTCACAATATTGATATGAGCGAAATAATGAGGTATTGATGGCATTCAGTTAGAATATTTTCTTCGCCAGTCACAAGATTAATTCTTCAGACCTGTCGAGAGGAGGGGGGGGGGGGGGGGGGAGAGAAAAAAAAAAGAAGAAAAGATGAATATGATGGTAGGCTAGGAGAAAAGGAACATACAGTCTGTATTGGCTCTGCAAGCACCTCCCATGACTCATTCAAGTCTTCAAACAAAGAAGCTTCATTAACCTATGACAAAATTAGTTCAATTAAAAGCAGATGTCCAAAAGCAAAGTAAGCTTTTAGCTCAACACCAATAGAATACAAGACGTGAAGAGTACAAGAGAAAACATTGGAAAGGGTAGTAGTGGATGCTGCCTGAAAAATGACAAATCGCAAACACTAATTTCATCATGTCAATTAATATCAGAGTGATGTGTGACAGTGTTTTGTTTTCACATAAGAGCAACCTTTAACAAGGCATATAATTACTATTGCAACTTTACCATACACAGGATGAAAAGTAACAGTAATTATGTACCTTGCAAATTTAACTTTTTACCTGCAGCTTTGATATTCCTTGTAATGCACTTCTGTACGCAAGAAGAGAATGTCCTAATCCTTCACCCATGTTCCTCAGAACTGTTGAATCAGTTAAGTCACGCTGCACGTAACATATAGAAATAAAATATTTACTTTCTAGCATGTCTCACTCTATCACCACTAAAATTAGATGACCAAAACTATTAACAACTAGCAAAATCCTTCCTTTTACTGGGCTTGGCTTATACAGACTTGGATCTGCAATATGATAAGGAAATCATAATTGCCCAGTGACATATAATCTTATATTCTGCACTTTTGGTGCCTAAAAACTACCAATCAATGTTTACTCAAAATGGAGCTTTCATATATCTTTGCAAAGAAGTAACACAGAGAGAGAGAGAGAGAGTGTGTTCTACCTGCCAACGAGAAATAGGTAATTTCATGCTTAAATGGGATAGACCTCCATTGGCTTTCCCAAGATTGCCCTCACTATTTTCAAAATCAATGGGATTTACTTTATGAGGCATAGTTGAGGACCCAATCTCACCAGCCTTAGTTATCTGCTTGACATTTGAACTTGAAAAAACATAAGTTCTAGCAGAGGAAAACCAGCAGCAACGTATTCACAAATATATCAGAAAGTTCACCTGCTTGAAGTATCCTAAAGATACGTAGCCCCACATGTCTCTATCAAAATCAATTAAGATGTTGTTAAACTGGATAATTGCATGGAAAAGTTTTGCCATATAGTCATGAGTTTCGATCTGCATAACATGTTCAAATTGTATTAAATTAGATCAGGTACATATGCATGAATATGCTTGCATCATAAGCCCTCTGTAAGTTTCATTCAAAAATCATTTTGTTTCCGAAAAAGATTTTTAGAACGGTGGTTCAAATTATCACATTGATAATCTGGAGGAGCAACTTACTTGCAGAACATGGTTAAACTATGAAAGCATTAGCTAGAAGATAATGACTCGAATTCAGAATTTTCAAGGAACACATACAAGTGATGTCCTCTATCACAGTTTAACATGGCTGAATTAATTGTTAGATAAAACAATAAGGAGCAAGGACTGGATAAAAATTGGGAAGAGAGTTCACTAATGAGTAACTAATAGGTAATAAAGACCACCGACTTTTCTAGCTTTGTACATAAAGCAGCCGCGTAGTGTATGGTAGGTATACGAGCCAACAGAGAGCATGTCAAAAGGATCCATCAAAATGTGGTTACTGATTGTTAACTTAGAACTTGTTGATGAAACTTTTAAATTACTCTGGTCTGTGAAAACCTACTAAAAACTTGAATGAGAAGAAATTTTGTGCATGGAACACACCTGAGTCACATAGGGATTGAAACTTAATCCAAGAGATTTCACAAACTCCTCTGCAATTTGAGGCCATTTAATATCAGGGTATGCAACAAGATGTGCATTGTAATTTCCAACTGCACCGGCAAACTTCCCCATTATCTCAACTTGAGAAATATCCCGTCTTTCCCTGCTTAATCTGACAGCAAAAATTGCAATTTCCTTTCCAAGGGTGGTAGGCGAAGCTGGCTACAGAATAATAAACCAAATGAATGATCTATCGATGACTATTAGTTCTAAAACAACTGTATAAACACAATTGTATGCACCATCATATGCCAGGTAGGTTAAGTTTACAAAATTTACTCAACAAATCATATATCCCAACAACTTGAGTTAAAGTAAAGTAAATCCTTTTCCTCCATTCAGTTGTTATTTCTCCATTCAACTCAACTTCTTCCTTCTAGTCATCAAATTTAGTTATTATTAAGTGATTGTGCATATTCTCGACAATCCAATATATGCAGGGTACTAGTCAGATGGACCATTTTCTTTTTCTCTGTTCTTTTTATCAATCTTCCTTTTTCTTACCTTTTTTTTTTTTTTTTTTTTGAGGGTTGAGGGGGTGTTGGTTTAGAAATCTAAAACCATTTCCCTCAACAATGAATTGCAGTGTAGCATCTATTAAAAATAAAATAAAAAATTCATCTACCTGCCCGTGAGTGCGAGACAACATGGGAACATGAGCATTAGCTTTAGCCATGTTACAAATTGCCTCAATTACTTCATCCATGACAGGAAATATGACGGAGTTCAAAGCTTCTTTCAGCATCAATGCATGGGCAAGATTGTTGATGTCCTCAGATGTGCAAGCAAAATGAAAAAATTCAAGCACCTACAATGAAAAGAGAGGGTTAGCTACTCAAAAATTTCAAATAGTGACAGCAATAATGAAAGGCTCTGCAACTGAAGACTGGCTACAGTAACAGTTTAATAATGTCAAATACAGTAAAGGCAGTCCTGATAGTATCTTAAGCAACTGAAGGATTAAATGCAAACCAAAAGCTGGTCATTTTAGTATCTGAAAGAAACTGGAAGACTAAGTCCAAACCGTCGCAATCTCTGGATGTGATTGGCATTTCTGTTTCAAGAAGTATTCCACTGCTTTCACGTCATGGTTTGTCACTTTCTCTATATTCTTAACTTCCAAGGCATCATTTATGGTAAATCCATCAATCAATCCTTGCAAATAAGACTGTGCTTCCCCACTGAAGCTTGGAACCTCAGTAACTTCGGGAATCTGTGAAAGCTTTACCAACCATCTGATCTGAAAGAGGGTTCCAATTGTTGAGAATGGACATTTCACAATTGAAAAATGACCAAAAGAAAAAGAATAAAAAAAATCACAAAGAGAACTTTTCACAAATAATAATGACAATTGGAAGAATCAAAATAATACTAAACCACAACAGCAATATAGGTGTTGAATAACCTCTAGTAGAATTATGGATGGCTTAATATAGTTAAGCTGCTTGGTATATCACCCATGCTATGACATTTTCTCACCAATCTCATGGCATTTTATCTGTCCTATGGCCACTCAAGCATGATGAAGTTGTCCTGGAGCTTTGAGCCCCAATCTTTGCAGATGACTAACCAACCACTGCATTCCATGGTATGCACAGCCAATACTATCTATTTCAAACACTAAATGGGAATAACATAGGTGATTTATGCATGTCTAAGGTTAGAGCAGAACCATGGAGGCTTTTGATAAACTCACTTCTCAGTGGCAATCAATATTAATACATAGCTGGAATATAGACTCTGTTTTTTTCCCAATAAGTAGCTGGAGTAGAGACTCACTGAAGTCAGCATATATTTTCCACTCACAAATGATGGAACCACAAAGTTTGAATTGGAAGAAAAGGGGATTTCCCAGTCCCAAAAATTGTTTGCGTTATGATTTCAAAGTCTAAATCCTTTGGAAAATCTGTCCTTACAGACACTGGATAACTCAATCCAAATATGTGAGTCTCTCAATCAGTCAATTGACTTAATAGACGTAAATTTGTAAGATCCAAACTTAATCAAGCTATGGGTCAAGTTCAGTGACATCGTCTCAAAACGATCACATCTTGTTTGAATCCACTTAACCAATTAGTCAAGTTACCATAGTCCATTGCATAGCTCAACCAGAGAGAAATCCTAAGACTATGCTTATAAGCTGCTGCAGAAGGGTTCATCACAGCAGCACCCACACTTTCTGAATTGCCTACAATTAGCTAGTTATCATTCATAAACTTGTAGCATTCCTCTGTCTATCTGCCAGTCTGTCTCTCTCTCTCTAACACATGCAGACAGAGACACACAAAACACACACACCCTCTGCAATGTCTTGCAGCAAGGATCACTAAACAATTATCTGCTGCATACTAGTTTTATATCAAAATGATAAATTGTCTTGTCATTTTCTTGATTTATTATCAGTTAATTCAGCCTATATACCAATCTCAAAAATACGTTCTGAATTGATGCATAGTATGCTAAGAAGAATAAGGTCAAATTAGCAATTTCACACAGGCCTACCTTATGTATTAGGCTTCAAGTTATTTTGAGTCTTCATTCTATCTTTGTATGAATTAGTATATTTCTGAACAGATTTATTTGTAATTAAGTAGCAATAAATTTCCTAAAGCATAAATATGATTAAGCTCATTGAAAATGTTCTCAAAGACAACCTTGCCTAAATGACTTAAGCATGGTATAGTGTACGAGGACTCTGACAACACAATGCAGTAAAGACCATCAAATGAAAGTTGGATTTTTTTCATCAAATTTCAATCATGGGCATCTCAAAACCCTTCAGGGCAAAAAACAAAAAAAAAAACTCCCATCAGTTTTGTCCATCCAAATGCCAATTTGTATCCAGTACATCACTCCTCAGTTAATCAATTCTTGTCATTTAACGATATTCCAAAACCAAATTATCAGGACTAACTGACTATTTATTAATATATATGGTGAACAACGCACGAGTTTAGCTTCAAAAAACCCCAATTTACAATATTTATCTTAACCAAAAGTTTTGCACAAGCACAAATGATTTGAATCCAAGCAGTCCCATTCCAAGCAATTGTGGAGATAAATTGTTCCAATACTTGTAAGCTACACAGTGATCTTGATAGTATATAAAATTCAATGAATAGCTTCAAGCTCAAGTTTATTAAACCTGAGAATCGAGCCAGATAACTTTGTCAAGACCAAAACATTGATTGTCAACCAAGCTTTTCCAATTTGTACAATCATTTGTGCAAAATAATTTAAGAAGAGATAGCAGCAACTGAAAACAAATTTGTTGTCATAAGAAAAACAAATATTGTATTGCAAATAGGGACACTTTTTCATAAATCTCTTTTCATCTACTTATATTCCATTTAGTCCATATTATTTTCTTATGTTCCAATAAGGCCTATAGGTGACATAGTTACCAAAATATCCCTAATAATAATATTCATATTTATAGTATGAATGTTCCATGATGTGAATGTTCACACTGTCAATGTGAACATTCACATGTTAATGTGAATTTCACATTCTAAAATATGAATGTTCACATCACCAAATTGCTAACCATTTACAAAATATTTGCAAGGGTAGAAATATCCATAAAATACTTTAAATATGAGAAATAGGATTTGGTGGATCAAATGTCCAACTAATAGGACTTATTAGAATACAAGAATATCTTATGCACTAATTAGGATACAAACACTTGAAAAGGGATTTTCTAATAAATTTCCCTTGCAAATAAGTTAATATATTTTATAAAATATTTCCTTTATAATAGGTTCGCGAAGGTTAGATCAGAGTTAGCTTTTTTTTTTCGTTTTCTTTTTTCTTTTTCTTTTTTTAAATCTTTACTACAAATTTTGTAAAAATCATTAGGTTTGTATTACTGAAAAAAAACACAACTTTCAAGTAGCAGATTAGTAATCCAAAAAATGAGACAGCTGTAGAAAAAAGGTTGATTTTGTGTCACCCCAAAACATTTAGCTTGCATTTTGTTTGTTCAAAATATTGCTCTTATTTCAATATTTTGGAACTATAAGGCATAAGGAAAAGAAAGTGATATTACTGGTAGAAGCATATGTACATCATGCTCATCCTTTCCTTTAACCCACACTTATATGTAACTTAACAGTTCATAACAACAAAGATTATAACCAAGTTTGACTGTTTCAAATGAAAATGATATAGGATCTGTACCTCAACCATAACTCGGAAGTGAATTAGGCCATATTCACTCATATAAGGAGCCAAGTCCTTGACTTTACCCCAATAACGACCATCCAGAGGTGACAAAGCTGTTAAACTTGAGAGCTCCAAGTCTCGAGAATATTCTCCAGACATCTTCTTTACCTACGAAGGTCCAAAAACCGATCAACATAGCATGAAATACAAAAAGTGCCAGTGGTTCGAACTAATCAGGTACTGCATCAAAGAAAATGTACTAACACTTTGGAATATGGAAAAGGAATGGTAGAGAAATTATAGGACAATTATACATTTATTAGGGATACATTATAACATTTAGATACCATAGCTGCATTAAGGACTTGCTGGATCATTAGCAGTAGTAAACCATAAATAATTTTGATCAACCAACTGGGACTATCCGAGTTGGCCAGAACCTTTGCATTTCATTAAGACTTAGGAGGCAAGGTTCAAGGATTGCCACAAGAAAGACTCTCCCCTCCCCTTACAGCTTCCAACATACCAACATGTTAATAAAAAAAAAAGAAAAAAAAAAGAATGCCTGCATATCAGTTCGTGCTTGGATTGAGCTGGCTTGACATAGGATTTCGTGCTTGGATTGAGCTGGCTTGACATAGGATTTCAGTTCATGGCAATGCAAATGCATAACCCTAAGAACTAGTTGGCCACACTTCAAATTGGAACCCTTGGAGCAAGAGTGAATCAAATTACAATAAGGGTCTGTTTGATTAGCAGGATTAATTGTGAGGGAATTAACAATCCGTGAGATTAGTATAGGATTGGTTATCCAACTAAATTAGTGAGACACATAATTCTCTCTTATCCACGTTTGTTTTGCAATAGATATGAAAATATATAATCTCAATTATATATATGTTTTAGTTTATTAGTCATGGAATTAAAAAAATTGTCAATTTCGTTGAATAAAATGGCCATTGAAGTGTAATCCAATAAATAAAATCTGCAACCAAACAATGGAATGTAAGTGCTATGAATTAATAATCCCAATGCTATGGTATAATCCGTCCAATCAAACAAGCCCTAAATACATAATTACCCACATACAGTACCTATGTGTGCTCGGGTATGCATACCTAAAGCAAGCCCATACATGCATATAAATTTATAGCCGCCTATCTGCATACAACCTTGATAAAAAGAAGGAAGAAACAAAGAATAACATTCATAAAAAGACGATCAATTGTCTGTAAATTAGATTTTGAAGTAGTTGTTTTCAATTAAACAAGCCCAATTTGGCAAAAATTGCCACATACAATCTACAGTGAGGCTAATTAGAGAGATGATGAAAAAAATTACCTTTTCCACGGAGATACTGATGTTGTTGGCGTCTTTGACGATGGCTCTGCAACGACAATCTCCGCGAGGAATCGCTGGGGAAACGTGAAACGAAGCATTTGAAGAGTGAAGAGACGAGTTTGAGAGGTCTCTCAGTCGTCGGAATCGGGTAGTGGGGATGAAATACGAGACTTGATTGGTGTTCAAAACCCTAGAACAAGCTCCCAACTCCATCAAAGAAGAAAAAGGGAAGTGGATGGAGATGGAGATGGAAAGACTCTCTTTCTCTCTCTCGCTCGATTTCTCTATCTCTCACGGGGGCTAGGGTTTGGCAGCTAGGGTTTCGCGAAGAAGTTGTGGTCAACGGTCCAGGTTGTAGCGGTGGAAAAATCGCCGAAGATGGAAGGAGAGGTGGCCTCTTTCTCTCCCTCTCTCACAGTGGCTAGGGTTTAGCGGCTAGGGTTTCGCGAAGAAGTTGTGGTTGACGGTGGTAGTGGGCAATGATAGAATTAGGGTTAGGAAGAAGAAGAAGGAGGGTTGCTAGTGAGGATGAAGATGGAAGTGGTGCCTATCGGCGGGAGTGGAAGTGGTGGTGGGTCGGTCGCCGGAAGGTGTAGGAGGGGGTGGTGAGATTAGCGTTGAGTAATGCGAGGATAAATTTCCACCAAATCTTTACCAAATATCTAGCGGTTTTATGCAAGGCATTTAATAAAAATGTTTTTTTCATTAAGATTTTAGACTTCGGAGGATATGAATGGGTACAAAATTGGAATTTAATGTTAAGATAAAATTATAGGCCAAGTTTGGCATCACCAAGGATCCTCTAGAGTAAAATTTCTCTAAAGTTTCTTAGAGTGCTACATTGTATGGTTGAGATTTACTGACAAGTCACATCAGAAAAATTGATGTGACTTGCCAGTAAATCTCAACCACACAATGTAGCACTTTAGGAAACTTTAGGAAAAAATCACTCTAGAGGATCCTTGCTCGTTTGGCATGATTGAAAAAAAGATAAAAAGTCAAAAAGTCACTATCCTATTTAAGTCACATCATCTTATTTAAGTCACATCACCTCTCTAACACATCACTTCAAACCCAACTCAAACCCAACCCATATTTCATAAAAAGTCAAAAAGTGCACTTATTTAGTCTTCCCAAACTAGGCCATAATAAAAAAAAATAGGAGCCCAAAAAAAATATGGGGGCTATTTAGCAGCCCTAAAAAAGAAAAAAAAAAGAAATTAATAATAGAAAACACCAAACACAGAATGTGACACAGATGTCTCACATTGATGTCTCACAATGTAACAAAATGTGAGATATCTATGTTCATTTTGTGTTTGATTTATTTTTTCATAGTATTGTTGTTTGGGTTTCTAATATTGCTCTTTTTAGATATACTTAATCTAAATAACTAAAAAAGTAAAATATTTGTGAAAAATGTAACTTCTTTTGAAAAGATTAGGCTCAGAATTATTGGAAGAATTCTTCACACAGAAGTTTTTTCTTTGACGTTCTCAAAAGTTTTGAATATTTTTGAAACAAAGTGGGATGTTATGTTTTGATTTAAAACCATAGCAAATTTGGTCCAAAACATTTGAATCAGAGTGGGTAATACTGATAGGGATGACAATTTGAACCCGGCCCGACAGGGACTCAACTCCCCGATCTTGATTTGAGCGATTTTTCTCCGAAAAATATCCCTAACGGGGTGGGGATGGTATTCAAAAATCAAACCCCGATTAGTTTCGAGCCGGGGACGGGGATAAGTATCCCAGCCCCATACCCAACCTGTCCCCGTCCCTGTCCTCATTCTCGTTCTCGTTCGTCCCCAAAGTGAAATTACTACAATATCCCCTATATATATATATATATATATATAAATGAAACCTCACACTCAGTCTCAGAGTCTCTCTCGGTCTCTCTCTCTCTCTATCACCTTTATCTCTCCTCTTGCCGTCACCGACCACTACTCTCGTAGTCGACCACCACTCCCCTTCGTAGCCGCAAGCTCCTCTTCTGTTTCGCGACCTCATCTTCTCTGCTTCGAACACGCACAGTCGCCCTACCGAACACACACAACCGATAAAGATCCAAATCCAGAGCTGCCATAGCTCATCCGCAAGATCCAGATCTACCACCATCGCCGCCCATGAAATCTGATCTGATCTGATCTATTCCGTGTGTGCAAGATCCAGATCCACCACAACCATCGCCCTACCTCATCTCTCTCTATCTCTCTTTCTCTCTAATCTGATCCGTGTGTACAAGTGCATAACAATTTTGTTTTATTTTTATTTTTTATTTAAGTTGATGATTGTTGATGATGATGATGAGACATAAAATAAAAAAAATAAAAATAAAAAGATGTTGTTGTTGTTTCTTAAACTGATCTGATCTGATTGTTGGTTCGACAAATTAAAAAAATAGATGTTATTGTTGTTGATCTAATCTGATTGTTGTTTCTTGAACTTGATATGTTTCATTAAAATAGATGTTATTGTTGTTGACCTGATCTGATTGTTGTTCGTTAAACTTAATTTGTTTTTTTAAACTTTATCTTTTTTTTTTAATTTGTTTTTTTGGCCGGGAAATTTTCGGGGTCGGGGAAACTCGATCCCCGTCAGGGGTGAGGGCGGGGGCAGTGATAGGCTCCCCGTCGGGGATTGGGGACGGGAAGTGTGATCCCCGGTCCCGTCCCGGCCTGTTGCCATTCCTAAATGCTGATTGTAGATTGTGAAACAAATTTGTTTCGAATCCTTCTTATTTGTGAAAGTGCTGCAGTGGGTTGTAACTGATGATTGTTCTGAACCCTCTGAAATAGAATTTATTATTAATACACAAAACCTAATTGAAATAATAATCCAAAGGCTACCAGTTTGCTAGTAAGGCCACTTCGAATTATCACCACTCAATCAAAGTAGATCAATTGTAAAAATATTTATTCTCTTTATATATTTTCATGATTTTTCTTTATTTGAATTTGACAAAATTTCTCACTTACAATTCATGAGAACGTAGTAGAAGAGACAAATATTGAACAAGAATAATGCTATATGTACCAATTGGTATATCAATTAGTGTACTAATAGATAATGTGGCATAATGTTAGAAATTTTGAATATTTGTAATTTATATAATGGGTGGGGTCAGTAATAATGTCATAAGGCATGTTGGTACACTAGTTACTATACCAATTAGTGCATATAGGACTACCGATTGAACAAGTCGCAATAGTGGAATTATTAAAATAATCATATTAGAACAACTTTAACCAAATGCTATAAAAAAGTATGGAGTTCACTTTTTTTATATCTAACAGTGAACTATCAGAGCTGTTAAATTATATTTTTGCAATATCTTTTGTCAAATTTGGCACTAGTTTTACCTATAGTTAAAATTGCCAGTGCAACAATTTTGGGAGTTCGGTGGTCAACCGGATGGTCGACCACTTTGTCGTAATTGCAAGGTGCAGAATTTTGAAACTCGTTGGTCGTCCGATTAAGCTAAAAGTAGCAATCTTACCGTTGGAACAACATTGTTATTTTATAATTTTTTTGCACTATTCATTTCTAAATTATAACTTTAGCTATTGTTTTTACCAATTGACCATTGGAGTTACTTACAATGTTTGAAGGTGTTTTAATTTCTGGTTATTCCATAGATTTAGGTTGCTGTGTGATATTTAATAAGTTTGTAAAGGTATTTTCGAGATACGAAAAAAAGTAGAAATTATATGTGTTTTTCATACTTTTAAAATAGTACTAGATTTTAATATACTTTTTACACCTATATCAACTCTAACCAATATATTTTTCATACTTTTAAAATAGTACTAGATTTTAGTATATTTTTTGGATTTTTAGTTTAAAATTTATGATATTAAGATTTTATAAGATAAATAACATGTAATATTTTTATAATAGTTAAGGTTCTTCAACGTTTTTACAGAGAAATTTCAGCATAGAGAAATTTTAAACAAATTTCTTTGTGAAGAGAAATACAGAGAAATTTTAGCTCTTCACAGAGAAATTCAGAAAAATAATCAAAAAAAAAAAAAAAATTTAAAATGAAGAAATTTATTTATTGTTTATAATGAGACTCTGGTTATTGTTCCTTGTAACTAATATTCACCTTGCTTGTTTCTATTTTTCAAAAAATATTTTTCAGAAAATTTTATTTTCTTATTTTTCTTGTTTTTTTTTTTTGTTTTTACTGAATTTTTTAAATATTTTAAGCAATTTTTTTACTTTTTAAACACACCTAACATAAATACATTTAAAAAGTAAAAAAATTGTAAAAAAAATCTTTTAAAAATTCACCAAATACCAAAAATACAAAAAAATACAAGAATTCAGTACATTTTTTGTATTTTTATGTATTTATTAAATTTTTAAAATATTTTTTCACAAATTTTTTACTTTTTAGATACATCTAAGCAAGGTGAATCTAAAAAAGTAAAAAAAAAAATGTTTAAAATTTTAAAAATATTCACTAAAAACAAAAAAAAAACACGAAAACCAAAAAAAGTCAATTTTCAAAAAATTTAATCCAAAAAACTGAAACTAAACAAATTAGCTTTCACTGTTTCAGCACAATGATCCAACTGTTTGATAAATGCAATTTGGTCTCCCAAGATCGGAGTGTTTTCATCCACGTAAAATAAGATAGGAGTCTTATTAATTATCTAACAGATATTAAATTCAGTTATAGTCTGCCTAATAATGACTGATGGAGAGAATTGGAAGGATGAAAATCCAAATACGCATATCAGCAACACTAGCAACTTGACATCGTCCTCTGTAGAGAGTTCCAACTGCTATAGTTGTGGTTCATGTATCAAGACCAAATTTCTATGCATCTCCGATAACATAAATGGTCTTATAATGAATTTCATTTACAAAATTGTCAAAGTGACATTACCTTATAGTACAATTCTGTATAAATTTTTTATATTTTGGAATCGTGATTGATAAAAAAACAGATGTAGGAAGTATATATATGCATAAGAGGTGTTAGTGTAATATTAGTGTGCAATATCTAGCTGTCCAACTGTCCCACTAATGATAATGTTTCTGCTTTCGGTGTGTGTTAATTAGTATCCTATGTGTATCACCTTTCCTCTCTATAAATGAGAGTGTTGTAAATCATATCAATATATAATATTCATCAATACAATTTATTCTCTCATTCTCTCTCTATCAATTTATCTTACATGGTATCAGAGCTAGGTTGAGAACCTAGTATTTTCGTTCCACCGACGGGCGGCAATCTCGCATTGGCCGCCCGCCGGACAAACCCAAATCTCACTCACCTTGGCTGCTTCATGTTCTTCTCAGGAGATAAACTTGAAATGAAGAGTTTACCAAGGTTGCTGGATCTGATCTGATTAAGCCTTGCACTGTTCAAGCAAAAGCTACATCTGATCGTAACACATACTTAACACCCCTTGTTACACTTCGGGCTTCATGCAGCATACACGTATCACCATGAATGTGAAGGAGAGCCATCCCTTCAGTGGGAGACACCTCATACAATGGATTCCGGCGGCGACAGTCCTACGGAAAACACATTCCGGAACCCTCGTCGGAGCTCCAACACCCAGAGATCCCATTGAACTCCATAATCTCCAGCAATAGATTCTCCTCTTGGTTCTGCTGTTCTTCACCTCTGAAACTCTCTCCCTCTCTCTCTACACTCT